AGCATCTTGCATTATGTCCAAGCCGATCCATGGTAATAACAAACCTGAATGTGTTTTATGTTTCGTTGATTGAAGCTTGGTGGAAAATGTTTTGCTAATTTCTCATTCTGCAAATATAAAAAGCAAAACAGTAGTAGTTTGGTAGTCTACATGGCTGTAGTTTTTCCCTATCATTGTTCCAAAGGACATATCTTAAGATCAGCTTTTACAGACCACCCTCAATCCATCAGCTCCCAGCACAAATGGAGACTCATCTGGCTTATTTATACAAGTATGCTTAACATGGTTTCCAATCAAATTTGTTCAAAACATTGTACAAGGATGTTGGGCCAAAAATGTATGTATAATTCATAAACCAAGGCTCTCTCATGTTAGTAAAATCTTTTATTTTTTTATGCCTCGTCTCGACAGACCTTACAGGCCTTCCTTAGTGGACAAAAAAATAATTATTATCTAAAAAAGTGAGATATAAGGACGTAATGTTTAGATAAGTTCTTGAAATTACAGTACACTTTCTGGAGGGGGAAACTCATCTGCATGATTCAATGGACATGTTAAAAAGGTTTTAATATTTTGATAATTTGGAACTTTCATTAATGTCATATTGTGGAAGAGGAACAAGGCCTTCCAGGACAAATGAGTCACACTCAGTTAGGACACACTCTACTTGATTTATATTAAGACTGACCCGGGTAATTGGCAAATGATGAATAATGTAGACCCTGACCATCACTGCAGAAGTCCTATGAATTTGTTAATTTTAATTGCACCAGGTCCACTGCAATTAAAATATTTTAAAACCAACACTTCCTTCCTTTTGTATCAGAAAAGAGTTGGTTCTTGATACTTCTGTTTCCCCACACAATAATTTATGAATAGCTGTCCCATACCTGCATTCATCCCTACATGAACTCATGTGATTCTAACACGGCACAAAAGGACCTGATATTTGCCCAAATGTTAACACACGTTTTATGTTGTCATGATCCATACATGCTACAATGTGTTGTGGTGGCAAAATCAGTTATATATTAGAATTGAGTTTGATGTTAATATCACCAGCTTCACAGTGAGCCTAACCAACAATATACGACAGTCTGGTCACTATAATAACAGCCGGTAAACAGACTTGCAGTACATAAAAAATGAACGGAAAAATATTGTCAGAACCACTATCACTAATCCGATACCTGATCCAACAAAAGGTCCAAAAATGTTATCCAATGCCAGAATAGTATTGGTACATTCCTAGTTACTTTTCTTTGAAGCAACTACCACAAAGCTGTAAAAGTCAAGTTCCGGTTTCAATTCAGACGAAGTATTGTAAGTAATGTTTATTTATATACCGCCTTTCACAGACAAGGGTCACAAAGCGGTTTACAATTGTTATTATTTTTTGGGCACTTGTCCTCTCACTCCAGACAGAGATGGGAGCGGGGTCGCCGAACAGGAGGCGCATGCCAGACCTATTGACATTTTCTTATCTGTTGGCTCAAATCTGTAAAAAATGTTGTGTGATACAGTGGTCCTGCAACAGACGAGTTTTTATTTGGATTTCTCATGTAAAGACGCTGCATAAATTAGCACCTTTATTATTGAATAACAACATTTATCAAGTCTGTCAGTTCGCATGAGTGGATATTGAGTGTAAGTTCTCAACAACAACAAAAACTTTAATGCTGCTTTCCTTCTACTGTATTTAGGAAAACTGGCTCCAACGTTTTAGAGAAAGTTTTATAGAATTCTACACATTTTTGATACATTGCCTCAAATGTAGCCTGGCCTTAGCCATCCGTAAACTCTGGTCAATTATTATTTCCCTAAATGTACGTCTGGGTCTGATCCCAGCGGCTGCAGTTACCCCTGTTGTATATAATTCGAGCAAGGCGGGTGTCAATAAATTGAAGCCGGTGAAAGAGGAATAGCAAAAGTCATTGCTGACAGAGAGGTTGTGGCACTACTCCCCACGGGCTCCATTAGTGGCAAAGGAGATGGCTAAAGCTAGGCTAAATGCTAGCGACTCACTCGGGCGCATTACATAATCTCACTTCCAATGAGGCAAATCCAGACCTTAGTACGAAATGAAATTTGTACGATGGTGTAGAAAGACCAGGCTACCTCAAATGGTACTGAAACCACAAATTCAGCACTAAAAGTAAAGATGAGAAGCCTATCGTTTAGTACTGCAAACACTTTTTTTTTTTTGGTACAGCTGTTGCGAGATAATACTTAACATGGATTTAGCCTTTTGCCCACTACTTTCCATTACAATGCCACCAGATTCTTGAGTACAGACAATGACTAATTTAAGCTACTTGGAGCCAGTATTGTTTTCTTAATATGAACAAGATTTTGCAAAGATTAAACAGTATGCTGCCGTATGGGTCTTATCGCTTCCAGTGGACAGAAATGGATAATGGGATTACACGCCTCTGCTCATCACACACGCAATTGCACTCATTGAAATATCTGCTTGAAGTCTTTCCGACATGAACACCCACAAACACGAGAGCGACCAAAGAACTCCAGTTTCCCCCCCCAAAACGTGTCCCACCAGATCGTTCCAGACATGTGCAGCCATTTGTAACAAGTGTGTGGCTCTTACATCATGCTTTACATAATCTATTTCAGGATTGGGATTACTCATTTAGAACAAATTGCACCAAATTATAGCCATTCCCACAAGAGAGAATAGAAAACCCACTTTGCATTGCGTAATCGATTTCAGCACACGTTTTCTCGCAAAATGTGTTCTTGAAAGGTTATTACTGTAGTATCTAGGGCTGTAACAAGTTGAACTAATTTAGTAATTGAATATGATGAACCATACATAAACTCAAAAATGCTGCAAAAGGTGATATACCATATGAGGAAACATGTAAAGAACATTAATATCAGTCATTTTTTTAAATATAACTCGTCACTATGAAGATGTTGCATTACTCAACTAAGTCAAATCCCAAAATTGATCGATTACTGTTATTGCAGGAACTATCGCCCCAATAATTATCGATTATCAACATAGTCATTAATTACGACTCTAGTATCAAGAGAAAATGCATTACACTATATGTACTGATGACCACCGCTAAAAACTTGGTATTATACTTTGGGAGTGAATATTATACTGTTTTACACATTATGCCTCATTTAAAAGACTCAAAAGATAATAACAAATGAATATTGTATTGCCATGATTGTTAAAATAAGTCTTTCTGTTCAAGAGAATTTGTGCAAAAATATTCATAAATGGAGCTAAGAGTTATGTTTTCAACCTTGAATTTTATTACTACATCCTTTCCTCTGAGAGCTGGTGTTTTCTCAGTAGGACGTCCTCACTATGATAGTCATACCTCACTGTGACTTTCACCTATCAACACATTGAGTACTTTTTTTATTTTTAACATTATTTAATTCTTGTGTTGTGACCTCAAAACCGGTAGAGAAACATCGTGCAACCACCTCCGCCCCCGAGTTGTCAGCCTCTTTCACTGTCTGTGACTCAAGCGAGAGGAGGGTCCCATAAGTCTGGTGTTGCATCATGGGTACAGAGGAATCGTGACCGGGTTGCTGAGATGGAGGAGTTGCATGGGGAGGGTTTCAGTTTGGTTGCCATTTTATTAGAATGATTTTGTGAAGAGATTTGTGGAATACCTACACTGTGTTTTCGTTGGCCTAAACCCTTTTGGGCAATTTGTTTGTATTTGAAATGGCTCTTTTTATTTTTTTTATTTTTTATTTATACTTTATTAAGGACTCACATGCAAGCACAGGATCCATAGCTAAGAATAATGAAAGAAAAGTTTAAAAATAAAACTTTTTATTTGTTATTGTTCACAAATTACCAAAAGAAGAAGAAAAGTTTGTTGATTGTATATAATTATCAACATACATGTTTAAAGTATTTCTTTTGCTTTTTTATGGCATTTCTTGTTCTGTAAGCCATAGCAACTATGTAGTAGTAGTAGTAGTAGTAGTAGTAGTAGTAGTAGTAGTAGTAAAACTTATATGTCATACAAAAAAATATATTATTTTGTAGTTAAAATTCATTAAAACCAAAAAGTATGTTCCATCTGACCATATAACAACAACAAATAATAAGAATTCGATGTTCCCTCCCTGACCCATACACACTGGGCGTTTATGAAAACATCTATCTGTCTGTTCGCTAGTGTAGAAACAAGGGGGTGGAATACATTGACAAGAATTAATATCTTTGTTTTCTCATAACAATGCTCAGACATTACAGCAGCTGTCCATCATTGTTGTGCTTAAACATATTTATTTTGTATTGGAGGAAGATTTAGGAATTGTCTTAAACATACAACTAAACACAAAACTGTACAAATCGAAAATGGTTTTGGTCTCTAATTTTGAATCTTCTGCTGCAGACATTTCTGTTTTGTTTTTATATACTTAAAGGTTATGCTACTTCAATTTGTATCCCGTTTTGAAAAGAATACATATGTTTGACCATATAACCCTGTATCATCTATATTAAGTATTTTTCATGATACAAATATTTAAAACAGTCCTTCCCTTTGGAATAACCATCACCAGTAAGATAAGAGAATAGTTAGATAACTAAGAGAATAGTTAGACTAATGGGTGCCTCCACTGTCTATTAAGGTTGTTAGTTATTTGCATCCAATCAGGAGGCTGTGGGGGCGGGTCTAACTTGAAAAATGTCTCTCCATCTTCACAATTTGAAAAGTAACCTTCACTGTCATTCCCACCGCAGTAGAAAGTATTTAACAAGAGACTCTGAACTACATCTTAATATATCACCATTGTTAAACCATCTCCATCAAAGCCTGCCCAATGCTTTGGCACACTTTAGTCCATTTCTCACATTGAAAGCATTTTGTCAGTGTGCTGCTTGAAGCTCATCTTCTGTCTTCTGTCTTCTGTCCCGTCCCTGTCTCTCTCTCCTCCATTGCCCTTGTCCGTGTATTGTCTGCATGTGGATTTGTGGATGTGCTGTCCGCTCGCGCCGCCAGCCCCTCAGCGAAAGGCTAAGTTTGTGGAGAGCCCCCGAATCCCTCCCCCAGAGCCCGACTTCCACCCGCACTCCTACCACCACAACTCAGACCTTCACGTGGTCTACTACACAGGTGAGTCCGCTTGGCTGTCACTGTTTATTTATAGAGCTTTTAACAACTAAAGTGCTTTCCATTTGAATCATCACGCTTCTGTCTCATTTCGGTGCGAGCATTTGTCATTTATTTGTGCACGTCTAAGGTCTGAGGCAGGGCTATTCAACTTAATTTTCTTAAGAGCCAGATTTGAGCAACCAGTGTCTCTGAACCAGCAAATGAGCCCGCAAATTCAAGTGTCATATTTTTTTTAGGTTGAATTTCTGACCGAGACACTGCTCTTTCATGTACAGTAAATAAATATTCATGATTGAGGAAGTGATTATACTGGTGGGGGCCGCGTGTGTTGTGTTATAAAGTTCTACTGCCCCCTATTGACCGGGCGCTAGAACTACATTGTCTTCCGTCGTCGCGTAGACGCTGTGCACTTTGAATAAGGAGCCAGGTCGTTTTCTCTAATTACTTTGCCGCATCTCTGTCTAAACGTGGCCTGAATGACAAATCCTTTCTCATCGGCTACAAAAGCGCCACATAGGGCTGCAACTAACGATTATTTTGATAATCGATTAATCGGGCGATTATTTTTACGACTAATCGATTAATCGGTTTATGTACTTATATTTTAGTTTTGCCAATTTTTTTCCAAGTAAATTGTTAACAAAGGGCCTTCATCATTCAACATAGACTTTTTAGAGATTTTAACCATTTTACATATTCATATCCACATCAAAAACATATCTGGAGCTGTTTGTTATGTCTTTGTAATCCTTTGTTGAACTCAATGTCGACCATCAAAACAAAACACTGACCGTTACATACTCTAGCAAATTTCACAAGGAGATTTCCAATGTTTTCACCATGAAAATCCTTAGGGCTTCTGAAGTAGTTTAAAATCCCGAAAAGGCTTATTTAAGTTGATAAACTGGATAAATGTTTTTTTTTACATCTTTGTGCAAATTAGTTGAAAGATCAACTTTATGCCTAAAACAGTGAGTGTGGCGCCATCTTTTGCAAACAGTCAGTACTGCAGAGAGATGGTTTAAGGTGCTCACGCAGAGACGTAGTACTCCCGTGCCAGGCCAAGTCAGTAGCGCAGAGTTTACAAGTTACTCTTCTTTTTAGAAGGTTCAAAGTAAAGTGCTCCCACACTTTGGATGACTTCGTTCGATTAGGTTTGTCTTCTGCTTTTTTCCTTTTCTTTCTCGAGCTCCACTGCCGCTTGCCTCCGCCATCTTGCTGTATGCTGAAGAGAAGCTGTGCGCGAAGCATGTGACATAAAAGGAGGCCAGTTATTGGCTATTCGCTACTTCTCCTGCTGTAAAACCTCCGGTGGCTCATTACTGCCACCATTTGGTCACCGCAGAGTTAAAATATGCACGAAATGAGCCGCTTACGGCAAAATAAAAGTTATTTAGCAACTAATCGATGACTAAATTAGTTGACAACTATTTTAATAATCGATTTTAATCGATTAAATCGATTAGTTGTTTCAGCTCTAGCGCCACACCAAATTTTGTGCGATAATCAAGATTCAAGAGGTTGTTAGCCTTAAAGAAATGCTTTCATTGGAGGAGCTGAAGTTAGCTGGATGACTCTGAATTTTTTATTATGGACCATTGGTTTTATGATCTCAGAGGGATTAGGGCCTCACAAAATGGCACAGATTTTATTGTATTACTCTATTGTAATATGCACAAATGGATGTAAATTTCTCCTTTGTGAGATCAATAAAATGTATTTTATCAGGGTGCATTTTTGCTTATTGATTTTTGTCAGTTGAGGGCATTAGAGCCAATGTGACTGCTTTGCCCAAGTCTTTCCTCAAACACAGACAACACAGGAGAGGTTATTTGTGAAACTTTCTCTCCTCCGTCTGTCCTAATCCTGGCTTGTTCAGCCGTGTGTACAGTTTACTCTTAACTTCACACTTGCACAGCTTAATCCTGTGCACTGCGAATCTGCCTAACCCCATGTCCTCCTTCAATATCCGTCCGTCGGCATCGCGGGTCACCCCAGGACCAACGGCACCACTCTCAGATTTGATATCGCCACTCATCTCATCACGCCTTTTTCTTGTGGATGCTGGGAAATGGACTGCTTAGCCCTCTGACCCGTTGAGAAAACAGCGCGGAGGAGTCTCGAGCGTCGCTGGACAGTACCTTGGAAGCTCCAGTGTTTTCGAATCATTGAGAGAAATGCTTGAAAATGAAAATGGCTGAAGTGCTGCAGGATGTCACCGTATGCCAACCCTTTCTCTTTGGATTTTGCTCAATGGGAGTTTTAGGTAATTTAGTGTTATTGAGTAGTAGTAGAACTATTAGATGCGATTGACGTGTCCTGACTAAGACCAGGGGGCGGGACCACATTACACCGGTTTTAAAATTGCTGCATTGGCTCCCCATGTGTTTCAGGATCGATTTTAAGGTTCTTTTAATGGTTTTTAAATGTCTTAATGGTCTTGGGCCTTCTTATCTTTCAGATTTGCTTTTATCCTATGAACCTTCCCGGCCCCTGCGCTCCTCCGGCAGCAGACTCCTAACCATCCCCAAAGTCAGGACACACACTCACGGCGAGGCATCTTTCCAGCACTACGGCCCCCATCTCTGGAACAGTCTGCCGGAGGAGCTCAGGGCCGCAGAGAACGTTCATATTTTTAAGAGTAGGCTCAAGACGCACCTTTTTAGAGTAGCTTTTGATTAGTATTTATTATTTATTATTGCTTTTTAGTACATCTATTTATGTTTTTAGACACATTATATTTTTATTTATTTTTATTATTTACTATTTTTAATTATTTATTGTATCTACCCATTTACTATTGTTATTAGCAATATTAGGCAGCTGCCATTTTTCTTTTTATTGTCACATTTTATTGTTCTACTTTCTATTGTATTATTGTATTGTTTTAGTGTCCCCAGTGTTTCCTCTGGAGGAGCCCTCTGCACTGAGAGCTGGGGTCTGCTGTGGCTTCGGGGGTCTGGCTCTTGGATCCGGTGGGGGTCTGGGGCCTCCTCTCTCCTCTGGGTCCTATGGGGTCTGAGTCCTGGGCCTGGTGGGGTCTGGGGCCCCTCTCTCCTCTGGGTCCTGTGTCGTTCCCTGTGGCTGCAGCCGGCTCTCTGCTCCTGGTGCAGATGGCTCCTTGGATGACGCTTCTTCAGCCGGTTACATCTGCTCCCAGCCCCATTTCTCTTTTATTGTTTTACCTATTTTACCTGATATGACTTTATACTTGTGTATGTGTGTGTGTGTGTGTGTCTGTGTGTGTGTATATGTGTGTGTGTGTGTGTGTGTATACGCATGTGGTTGTATATATAATTATAAATGTGGTTTTGGGGGGTCTGTGGGGAGGAGGGTTTAGGGCTGGGCATGTTGGATTGTTTTTAACTAAACTGTAAAGCACTTTGTGTTACACTTTTTGTATGAAAAGCGCTTTATAAATAAATTTTGATTGATTGATTGATGTATTAATTAGAATCTTGACCCTGTTCATTATAATCATATATGGACAATATAACAATGACTAAGTTGTTTTAAAGTAATTAATTCCCGTTTGAGTCATTACTCTCCCTTGAGTTCTCAGACCATGTTAACATTTTGTTTTTTGTATTATAATTTATAAAGGGCACCTCAACGACACTCATCTGATAGACAACATGTTCATTTTGCCTGTAAGAGATTTTAGCGTCCCTAAGAACAATACATCTTTTTCCTCAAAAAGTATTCCATAGAATGACGCAAATGCACTTGGAGTGGGAAACTCTGGCCCACTATACACACCCACATTCACAGTTTCACATGTTGCATTTTCGTCCTTGATGTCTGTTTCACTACAGTAGCAATGTTTTGGTGAAATAGTCGATGCGCTATCTGAAAAGATGAGCCGATAAGAAGCTCTTGCTCAAGCGAAAATTCAGGTTTGACATTATAATCTCCACTGCTGCAGAGGCAGCGAAATAGAATTGTTGATTTGAAACGAGATGTGCAATTACAATTTCTACAGATGAACCACTCTGAAGATATTCGCTTGGAGGAGGCTGGAACCCCCCCTACTGAGAGTCTAGTTACTAACCACTAGTTTATTTATATTTTAGCTCAAGCCGTACTGATCTTGCATTTATTAATATCCAGCTTTGCATTAGTGAAAAGCATTAGTATAGCCACTAGTTAGTCACTAACAGTCCAGTCCAAAAGTCTATACATTAACTTTGTGCGTTAAAGTTGTTTTTTAAGAGTTTTTCCTTGTCGATGCAGGAGGGTCTTGTTGGACAGTTAGTGTCCAACAGAAAGGATTGGTGATGATCAGGACACTTTAGCATTCTACAACATGTATGGACATTTTCTTCTGTGTGTGCTTTATATTCTTCATGTGTTTTAACTGTTGATTCTCTGACCTGTGTTGGTGATTTCAATGGTTTTGTTAAGTCCTCTGAGATGACTTCTGTTGTGACCTAGGGCTATACAAGAATAAATTGTATTGTATTGTATTGTATTGTTATTATGTTTGGTCAAGTCTTCAGATTAAGACTGGACCACACTGGGCCTTTCAAGACCGGTTGCCAGACCAATGATATTAATCTTTATTTTATAGTTGCAGCTCTAGAACCAGGTATATTTAAATTACAGCTTGTAGCTAAGTCTGCTTTCCAACAATAGAAGTGTTGAATCTACACTTGCTTCACCTGTGTCCCATGGCTCTATAAATACCTCCACCCTTTCTTTTACCCCCCTCCACACACACACACACACTCATCCCACCTGCTCTAATGCGGCCAGTGCCCACCACCTGCCCCTCGTGCTTCCCTAGCTCTCTTCTCTTTCACACGGGGCCAGATGCATTCCTACGAAATAAAGATAGTTGCCATAGTGACCATCGGCCCGCTGCTCCTCTGCGCCACTGGTGAGGACTAGATGCGTTTTATAATATAATTTCATTCATATTCAAATGGGATCATTACATGGTGTATGGTGTTGAGAGAAGTGCCTCTCATATACAAAGACACGCTCTGTGCCGTCGTCTG